CAACTGTCCAGATGGCCCATTCACACCCATCCCACCCTTCTTTTTGGCTGCTTTTCTCTTGGGTCGAGAGGGCTTGGATCGGGCTGGGGAAGGGCAGGCTCCAGCCTTTGGCTACTCAGCTACCACCAGATAGACAAGAAACAAAGAGGCGAGAAGGTTCTACCCCGCACCACACAGAACAGGCTGCCAGGGAACAGGTTGGGTTTTAGGTCATTTTGACAAGGTCCTAACACATTTGGAAGCCATGATTGGCCAATCCACATGGAAACTTTGACCTGCTCAATTTGTGACAAATCTGGGCAGATTTATCCCACCATGACTAGTATACACTTAAATGTTTGTTGAGTGACTGAGTAATTTCCATTTTACAGATAAAAAAACAGTCTCACAAAAGTGAGATGACCCACCCAGGGCCACAGAGCTAATGGGTGTGTCGGAGGCCAAATTCTAATCCAGTCTCAGTCTGTGACTGGGTCCAGACCCATTTTCTTGCCCTTCCCTGAATTAGAGCGTAATGTGGCTCACCACTTATTTCTAACTTTTGGACTCAGTAAAAACCACACATCCTGCGAATGAGTTATTACCGATTTTGAGCAGGGCCGAAATTAATGAGGCTTTGCTCTCTGGGAAGGGAATGAATTTCGTGACTTGTTTACTGGCGTATTTGAGAAGAACTCAGACAGAGTTTTGGCAATTTTCTGCCCACTGTAGTATGGCCTGCAGTAGCTATGACTTACAGACATCCTCCTTACCTAGTGCCTGCTAGCGACCCTCTGCACAGAGACACTACTCAGTCGTAGCAGACTGGGTAGAGTGCTAGAGTCAGGAAGACTTGGGTTTAAATCCCACCTCTCACATCCACCCACTGTGAGCTCATTAGCAAATCTGAGCCTTCCTTTCCTCATCTGTAAGGTGGCATGCAGAATACCTGTATATCACAAGCTTGCTCTAAGAGCCAAAGAAGGGAATGCATAGAGAGTACATTGCAAGGTTTAAAAATACTCTCCTGATGCCTGTGAACTGTGCTCTGCCTTTATACTGCCAATGCCTGGCATACAATTGATACTTTAGTAAATGCTTGACCTTAGGGAGGGACTCATTCGATTTTCTGTCTCTATATTTCCAGCACTTAGCATAATGCCTTGGAAATTTTTGGTTGGGGGTGGGGGGTGGGGTCCAGACCATAACATCATGGGTGTGGGAAACTCCTTCTGTTGAGAGAGAGAGAGAGTATACTAGAGACCTGAAAGCTTAAGGGATTTTTCAGGCTAACATAACCAAGAAACCCAAGTCTTTAAGACTCCAGGGTTCTCTTTTTGAGGAAACTGAGACTAAGAGAGGATAAATGACTTGCTGAAAGTGAGAGATAGGAGAGGAGAAAGATAACAAAGAAGAGAGAAGATAGGAAAGGAAAGAGAAGGGGAGAGAGTGATAAAAGAAGAAAAATGGGAGGGAAGGAAGGGGAAGACAAGAAAGATAAGAGAGGGAGAGAGACAGAGAGGAGAAAGAGAGAGAAGGGACAGACAGAAAGAAGAAAGAGAAAGAAGAGGTAAGGAAGAGAGGAGAGGAAAGAATGGAGAAAGATAGAAGAAAGGGGATAGAGGAGATATGGGAGGGAGGGAGAGAGATACAAGAGGAGAGAGAGAAATGGGGAAGGTGAGAGAGATGGGAGAGAAGAGAGGGAGAGAGATACTAGAAGAGTAAAGGAGATAAAGGGGGCAAAAAGAGATAGAAGAGAGGAGAGGAAGGGGAGAGACAGATTTCAAATCCAGGACTCTTCTCAATCTAAGACAGTGCACTTTCCTCCATACCACCTAAGGTCCTCCAATATGAATTTCCTCTCTGCCCCACCCTCTCTATGCTGCTCCCTTCCTCTAATACTTTCCAGGGCCCTCCATATCAAAACAAAGTAGACATTTCTGCCTATAGCTTCAAAGACTTTCCACTACCTGGTTCCGAGGATCCTCACTAGCCCCATCTCTTCCCCTTCTACTTTAAGGTAATAGCTGCGCTAGATGACTCTCCTTTCCCTCTTCTTGTCCTAACATCTTTCTCTGTGTCTTTAAGCCTGCCGTTTCTCCCTGCCTGGAATAAATGCCCTCCCCAACCTAATAATCATCATAACCGATGATAACAGCGAATCCATGTATATATCACCGTAAGGTTGGCAAAGCCCCTGCCCAGTCCCTCACCATTGCCCTGGGAGGTGGGTACTATGAATTAACCTGATTTTACTGATGAGAAAACAACCTCACGGAAGCTAAGTGACTTGCTCAGGGTCACACAACTAGTAAGTGTCTAAGGAAGATTTGAACCCAGGTCTTCCTAACCCCAGGTACAATACCCTTTTCCCTTCCCTCATCTATTGGAGTCCCTCCCTTCCTTCAAGCTCCAAGTCAGATGCCCCCTCTAACATTTGCTTATTGAACTGAATGGAAAACACCTACTATATGCCAGGCATTGCCCTAGCTACTGGAGCTACAAGAGTGGCACAGTCCCTTCCCCAAGGGAGCTTACACTCAGTTCCCTGAAACCTTTCTCATCCTTTCTTCCCTCCTCCTAATTCTCTTAGCACCTTCCCTGGATATCCCCTTTTACACTCATCCTGGCAACACAGTTAATCTGTTTTCTTGTTCTTCTCTGAATTAGAGTATAAGCCCCTGGAAAGCAGGACCAGCCCTGGACCTAGTACAGTCTCGCACACAAGATTTGAAGCATTAGCAAATGAATTTGGATTAAAAATCAAAGGCAGTTTAGTACTGGGGAAGATTATACACTCTTCACTTCAACATAGGCCAGTCTCTGAATATCCAAGAAGACTTTCTGGTAACCATCCTCTCCCCTCTCCAGAAATGAAATGTGACTGATTATGCTCCTTGGGGAAACATCCCGATTGGCTGCAGGCTTAGTTTTACCTGTGAGGCCAGGGAGAAGAGGTGATTGAAAACACATATGGGATTGAGAGTGAGCCAGTCAGGCCAGTCATGACTTTCAAACTCTATGGACATTGGATCAAGATGGATCTGACCAAGCCCTTGAATAAGGTTCTGACCATGTCATTGCCCTCCTCAAATATCCTCAATGGCTCCCACCAACCTTTCCTGTCTTTTTCATGTAAATTATTACTACTTTTTATCAACTCTCCATTCCAATCAAACTGGTCTTGTTGCCCCCTGTACACGACACTGTATGTCCCACGGCTGGACCTTTTCATAAATGGTCCCCTGTCACCTCTACCACACAAAATCCAACTTTTCCTGTGTCTCCCAGTTACTATCACTATCTTCCTCTCAAAATTACTTTGTAGATAATGTTTTACTGATTTTCTTGAAGATATTTTGTATCTCCTTAGTAGAGTATAAAGTTTCTTCAGAGTAGGGATGCTTCATTATTTTGTCTTTGAATCCCCAGCACTAAAGATAAAGAGATAGAAACTGGACCTATGAATTCAGTGGCATTTGATAAGCAAACTCCCCCCACCAATGCAGATTGGCACTTTCTCTATACTATATAGTCTTAGACACTTGCCCAGGGTCACACAGCTGGTATGTGTCAGGGGCGGGATTGTTTAAACTGTCTGAATTAATGACTATGAGCAGAATCGCAACTCAAGACTGAGATCTCAGGCATACAAGTTGTGTAGAAAAATGTGACCTCTTTCCCTAGAAGTTGGTCCAAACCCAGAAGCCCCAATCAGAGCCTAAACAATATTATAGCGGAGAACATAACAGATTCGAACTGGAAGACACCTTGGAGGTAATGTGTTCAAACACCCCCCTCCTCGTTATTGATGCAGAAAGGGAAGTGTGACCCCGAGCAAGTCACTTGACCCCAATTGTCTTTAAAAAAAAAAAAAGAAAGAAAGAGAAGCAATTTGCCCAAAGTCACATGGTAAAGCAGAGATTAGAACCTTCTTCTCTTGAGTCTGGGTCTGATGCTCTATGTCTCAACCTGTGTGCTTGAGAAAGGAAATTCAATTCAACAAGCATGTATTAAGTATCAATTATTTACCAGGTACTATGCTAGGCACTGGAAAGACAAAGACAGATAAACCCATCCCTGACCTTAAGGAGTTTACATTCTACTGGTGGAAGACAGTCTGTGTGTGTATACATATATGTGTGTGTGTGTGTATGTGTGTATATATATGTATGATTATACATATACATAATCTGTTGCACATATTTTATGTAACTTCAAAATATATACAAAGTAAATACAATTTAATTTCAGGGCAGGAGAGATGCTTACAATGAGATGAACCTTCAAAGGAGCTAGAAATTCCAAGAGGTAGAAATGAACAGGAAGGGCATTCTAGGCTGTGAGGACAGGCTGTGCATGTGTGCAGAGTTAAGAGAAGCAGCATCATGTTAGAGGAGCAGTGAGGAGGGCCGTTTGGCTGCAATGCAGAGTACATGAGGGGTAGTCATGAAATAAATCTGCTAAGATGAGTTAGAACCAGACTGTGAAAGGCTTTTTTTTTTTTTAAATGCCAAAACAGAGGAATTTGTGTTTTATTCTAAAGGCATTAGGGGGCCACTAAAACATCAATTGGGTTTGTTGATGATTGTTGAAGAAGATGATTGTAATTAATCAGATCAGAATTGGTAATCAAAATCATGATTAATCATAATTGAAAAGTTTTTTTTAGAAAGAAACTATCAATTTGTGAACTACATGCACAATGGATGACTGATAGAGGGGAGAGCTTGGAGGCACAGACATCCAACGGGAAGCTATTATAATAGTCCATGAAGGTGGGAGGGGAGGTGACTATTAGAATGGGATAGATAAGCCACATGGTGGGATTTAAATGAACAAGGCAGGTCAACTAATGGGGGAGGAGAGAGAGGGAAAATTTGAGACTGACTCTGGATTCAACCTCCCTAATTGTTACCTGTTATCTAGCCCTTTGATCCTGGTTGTTGAGTATTTTGCTAAGTGGCAGTGCCCTACGGTGAATATGCTAAACTTCAATTCCTCTTTTGTTTTCTGTATAGCTGGAGCTCTCCAACACAGCCATCCTGCACCAGATGAGGCGGGACCAAGTCACAGACACATGTCGGGCCAACAGCGTGACCAGCAGGAAAAGGCGCGTCCTGACCCCCAACGACCTCAAGCACTTGGTGGTGGATGAGGACCACGAGCTGATTTATTGCTACGTGCCCAAAGTCGCTTGTACAAACTGGAAGAGGGTCATGATGGTCCTGACCGGGAGGGGGAAATACAGCGACCCCATGGAGATCCCCGCCAATGAAGCCCACGTCTCAGCCAACCTGAAGACCCTCAATCAGTATAGCATCCCAGAAATCAACCACCGCTTGAAAAACTACATGAAGTTCCTGTTTGTCCGTGAGCCCTTTGAGAGGCTGGTGTCCGCCTACAGGAACAAATTTACCCAGAAGTACAACACCTCCTTTCACAAGCGATACGGCACCAAGATTGTCAAGCGCCAGAGGAAGAATGCCACCCAAGAGGCCCTGCGCAAAGGCGATGATGTGAAGTTCGAGGAGTTTGTCGCGTACCTCATCGACCCGCTCACCCAGAGAGAGGAACCTTTCAACGAACACTGGCAAACGGTATACTCCCTCTGCCATCCCTGCCACATCCATTACGACCTCATCGGCAAGTACGAGACTCTGGAAGACGATTCCAATTATGTCCTCCAGCTGGCAGGAGTCGGCAGCTACCTAAAGTTCCCCACCTATGCAAAGTCCACGAAAACTACTGATGAAATGACCACAGAGTTCTTTCAGAACATCAGCATGGAGCACCAAACGCAGCTCTATGATGTCTACAAACTGGATTTTTTAATGTTCAATTACTCAGTGCCAAGCTACCTGAAACTAGAATGAAGAGGGGAAAGAGAGAGAATCATGCCTGTTTTTATTTAAGATTTTTATTTGTCAAGATAAATATATGGATATTGGGTTATTTTGTAAATTAATATTTCTTTGGGGATAGTGCTGCGAGCAGCACAGTCTGAATTATTTAAAAATCCTCCTGTAGGGAAGGACAGCTCTCTTTGCGGGGTAACAAGATGGCGGTGTCCTTGTTCTAGAAATGAGTACTGCAAACACTGTTTTCAAAGGTCTAATTGTGTCCTGGTGAATTTCATTTAATCGTGCATTACATAAATTCTAATTAGGGTTATTTATAGTTATTTAAACATGGTCTCTGGATAGATTTCACTTTAGAGGCAGCAGAATCTTCACGTTTTGACAAAAGACGTCTGTTCTTCATGGTTCCTTTGATCCTAAGGGCTCAGCTCTGGGCACTAAGCATTCTCTGTATTAACCATTAGCAGAATCGATATGTACCAGCAATTATGACTTTTATTGGTAACAGAATTTTGCAAATTTCAGTAGAAATTAAAATGTTGCTAGTGTACTCGGGAAAGAGGCAATTACCCTCCCAACTCTGTAGAAGACAGATTTGGAACGAGCTTTAGTCAACATGGAGGGCCCTTGGCTTGAATGAAATGTGAATAATATTTGTGACCCAAGGAGAGGGTGATCATGGCATCGTCTGACCTGGATGTAACAGGATAGACTAGAACCTGGGTTTACATCTAAGCTCTGGAAAAGGCTGACGTCTTATCGGTACCTCTGCCCGCTGCTTGATGTGAATCAGTGGACTAACTACCCCAGCTGCACAGGTATTCTTGTAGATAAGGTTAAGACATAGTCCAAACCACCATGGCCTCTACACGTGTAACAACAAAGCATTCCAGAATCTTAACTCATGTTGAAGTACTTCATGACCCATTTTCTCCTGGGCATGATCACTTCCTACTTCTTATTCACATACTCCTAATTTTCACCAGTTCACATGATACTTGAGTGATGTGTAAAACACGTCCCTTTCCGTAGCTGGGTGATTGAGTTCGGTCGCCCATGTTGATTATCCTGTATATAATAATATACTAAGAGTTTGGGGTTGGTTGTGGGTTTGGTGAATTTTTCTGTTGTTTGTTTTGTTTTGAGAGAGTATATAGTCAAGGGATGAGAAGATTGTTCTAATTAAGAAAGGTTAATTTATTCACAGAAACTATTAAAAATGTATTATAAAACTCCCAGCCAGCTCAGCAAACAGGAGTAGCAACAGCTCAAAATGTCGGACTTATTTTTATTTAAAGTTGAGTGAGCTATCCACCTGAGATGGAGGTTAAAATGCTATTTATGAGACATTATGGATCTTCTCCCAAGCTTTTGACTCCTGGAGAGATGGCCCAGTAAATAAATTCTAGAAAAAGAGAAGAGGCCAGGGATGGGAGAGAGCATGAGAAAAAGTATATATTTACTAGGCATGTTAGCCTTGAGCTATAAGCTGATTAAATAGACAAACCTATGCTCCAGAATCAATCAGAATTTCTTAAGCATCTCTTCAGTGCAAAGCACTAGAAATACAAAGACAAAAATTTAAAAGCAGCCTTTAACCTCAAGGAGTTTGGATTCTACTGAATAGAGAAAGGGGAACAAATACTTCCCAGCTTCTCATGTTCCCATAACATAGCCTCGATTGTCAGCCAAGACTGGAGAATTGGAGAGTCTCTCCATGAATTGGGGGGGGGGGCTTTTCAGGGGGGAAGAAAGCAGGAATTATTATTTTTAAATATAGTTTCAATTCAGGCCCCCACAATTTAAGTGGATATAAACTTTAAAAAGTACAATGGCCCCAGAGTCTCACTACCTTTACATACAATCATTTCCCCTATCCTAAAAACGTTCGGAACTTGTGTAAGCATCAGGATAATCGGGAAATAGCCAGCGCAGGGCTGGGCTCAAGTCAAGAGGCTGTTGGTGGGCTATCCGAGGGTCTAGGAGTGTTTAGCTTTTGTCAATGTCCCAGTGGCTTGACTGCCCACCCAAGTCTTACTTGAAAGTCATTGATCTTGTGAGAGTTATCTAAATCCTGGGCAAGTTCCCAGCATGACGCACCCCACCCCCCACCCACCCCCCATCCTGCTTCAATACCCTCACTGTGTAGTGAGTAGAGATTTGCTGTTTTTGTTTGGCATAGAGAATGAAGTTCATGTCTATTCATGAGTTTCCAGCTTCCCCAAGACACTCATGATTGGTTTTCTGTGATTGCTCAGCGTTAAACCTGCTCCCTGGCTCATCTGTCTCCTCTCTGTTTCCCTGGGTCAAGAGCCCCTTTTCAAGGAGAGAGCACCCCAGTACGTTTTTGATGGGAAGGAATCTTCCTGCTAGTGTTTTGTTTTACTTTTAACACATTCTTTCCTTTTTTTTCTAATAGTTTAATTTGTTTGTGTGTGTGTGTGTGTGTGTGTGTGTATTTGATCTGATTCTATTGTGACATGGAAAAAAAATGTTTCCATGTCTGTGGTTTAAAAAGTCGTTGGTGAGAATTGTGATTGGAAAATCAGATGGTTATTTTGAAGGAAAATGAACAGAATGGGCTTTGGGGGGTTGATTTTGAGGCTTTTCAAGTATGTGCATGTTTCTGAGACAAGGACAGGCAAGCCTTCCATCCCCTGGTTGCATTGCAGAAACCTTGCTCTGTTTTAACGATGGAGGGAATTCAAAAGATGGCTCATGGTGAACATTCCCCAGTCCAACTCATCAGCATTCTCTGATCAAAAAATTATTCTTCCTATTGTCTAATGCATTTGAATCCCTGCAGGGCATACCCCCTCCCCACCGTCTCTTAGCCATCCCAATGAATTTCAGAAAAAGGCAAAACCAACCAAACCGCAGCTTCCGAGGGGGCCAAGTGGGACAGGCCAATGCCTTACTCTCGGCTTTTCCATCAGGCCTTATCTAGGAGTTGGTTTCTCATAATCTGAACCTGAATGCCAGCATATACATGGGGGCATTGATCAGTGGGGACATTGGAACTAATATGGTACACAGCTATGAACAAATCATAGCATCATATCATAGATTTTTAGAAATGGAAGGGACCTCCAAAGTCATCGAGTCTGACCCCCCCTTTTTTTTTTTACAGAGGAGGAAACTAGGCACAAAGAGGGGACATGATTTGCTGGGACCACACAGCTATTAAGTGTCTAAATAGGATTTGAACCTAAATCTCCTTGACTCCAAGTCTGTTCCACCACACTGCCTCCCTTCATCGACCAGACAATAGGGTCGTACAGGAAACGTGTTTTCTTGACCACACAACTCAACCGAAGAGTTCTAGGGCCCTGAAACTTAATGCCAGAAGACAGGGCCCTTAATACCCTCATCACAACACAGCAGAAGACAGATCTTATGCAATAAATCACAAAGTAGGAAAATCCCAATTGAGGCAGCAGGCCCAGCTACAATCTGATCCACATATACAGTGGAAGCCTGGGCTATATGCCTCCTCTCTGCCCTTCCCCCACAATTCTCACCCGTGAATTTTCCATCAGACCCTAAGCTGCCCATTCCAAGGCAACCCAAGTAACTGGAAATAGTCAGTCCTAACAGCCCCATCCACTATTTACACAGTATGTTTGTCCTCTGGCCCATTTCAAAAAGCTATTTACCCAAGTCTTGCCTACTTTGACCCAAAGTGAGGTTATCCCCAGGGAGCAGGAGCGCATCAGAGTAACCCAGCCTGCTGCCATCACTAAGCAAATTTGTCGTCTGCTGCGCTCTTTTCAGGTACAAAAGGGACTGTTGGTACCCCCACTCTTGTTCCAGAGAGTGTTATTTTCTTATGTGCATGCACAAGATAGAAGACTATGTTCATATAATTTAACATCTATGTGGGGTAGGATTTTTTTTTACCTATTTGTATGCAGTAGAAGGCTTGTAGAGAACTCTCCTCTGTATCTTACTGTACTGTTCAAGAAAGAAGTTGAATTTTCCATTGCCAACAGACTCGTGAAATGTTCATGAACCTTCCTCAGAAAACAAAACAAAGAAAAGCCATTCAAGCCTGATTATTTTTCTAAGTAACTTCAATTAAATTGAAGAAAGAAAGATGTCTCCTTTCTGCATATGGTTTCTTTCTGTCTCAATAATAAAATGTTGGACTTGGAGGGCAGGAGCCAGGTGGGAGAGGGAGAAGAAGAGGGGAGTTGTGAGGGGAGGGAGGAGAGGGGGAAAAGAGAGGAGAGGGGAGGAGTGGGAAGAGGAGGTGGGGAGGATGAGAAGAGAGGAGAGAAGAGGGGAGGAAGGAAAGGGGAGAAGAGGAGAGGAAGGAAGCCATGCTTCTTGGAAAGAGAATAACATTCAAAATCTTGAGCCTGGCATTGAAAGCCGGCCCCAATCTAGGCCTCACTTACCTTTAGTACACCCCTTAACATTCTCTCCATTCCAATCTAACCAGTCTGCCATCCATTTCCCACCTCTGACAATCCATCTCACTCTGGGCCCTTGCAGGCTCTAAGCTATTTCCTTACCTCTGCCTTAGAGAGCCCCCTAGCTTTCCTTTTTAAAAATCTTTTTCTTTTGTAATAAACAACAATAATAATAGCTAGCATTTACATATTGTTTTAAGGTTTAGAAAATGCTATATACAGATTATCTCACTTGATCCTCACAACAACTCTGGGAGGTAGGTGCTATTACTATCATCCCCATTTTATAGATGGGGAAACTGAGGCAGACAGAGGTTAAGTGACTTGAGCAGGGGCACACAGCTAGTAAATATCTGTGGCTGGATTAGAACTCAGGTCTTTCTGACTCCCAGTCCAGCTCTCTATCCACTGGGGCGCCCCCTAGCTTCAGCCAACGGGGAATCCAGGAGACCCATGATAAAGGATACTACTTATCCCTAACTTTCTTTAAAGGATCACTCAGGTGCTGCCTCCTACAGAGCATCTCCTAATCCTTCCACCCACCCACTCTAGTTGTTAGTGTTTCTCAAATTTTGGAAAATAGCTTCTCTATATTTTTGTATTTACCCATCTTGAGACAGGCTGAATCCCCCAGAAATGTTCCATTTTTATTCCTAGTGCCTGGCACACAGAGTCCTAGATTTAGAAATGAAAGGGCCCTTAGAGGTTGGTCCAGAAATGAGGAAGTGCTTTAATAAATGTTTAAACCGAGCTGAATCAGAAAAAAAAAACAAAACATAAGCTTCTCCACATTTAAATCAGGAAAGCAAAAGAGAACCTAAGACACTGAGCCCACCCCCTTGGGGTGGTCAAGTCACTGCTACCAGGTGGGCACCATTTTTTTCCAGTTTCCTGGGTCACTTAATACTTGGATCCTTTCCATTTCCCAGTGACCTCCATGATCTGGCATTTCATGAACCAATCATGTTGCGCTTAACCAATCAAATATACCATGGTTGATATTCCACATGAGGAAGATTATGACCCACTTTCTGAATTTTTTTTAAGGAAATGATGTTCAGTCTGAATTGGCCATTTTGTTTGATTCCAATTCTATTCCTGTAAATGAGAGTCTGTAAGGGGCATGGGTAGGTTCGCCCTTCATTAACAAAGATTACAACCTCTCTGTGACTTGGTAGAGTATATTCATGCTTGAATTCTCACTCTACATATCTAGTTGGTTACCAGATTATGGTACTCCTACCTCCACATCACCTTATATCCATCCCCTTCTCTCACTTACATAGCCACCCCCCACATCCCCTGGCTTGGACTATTGCAACAGCCTTTTAATTGGTCTGCGTCCAGTCTCTCCCCTCTCTAATCCATCTCCACTCACTTGCCAAAGCCATTTTTCTCAAGTACATGTCTGACCACGTCACTCGCCTACTCCAGGAAAGTCACTATCACTTCCAGGATGAAATACAAACTCCTCCGTGTTAAAAGCTCGTGACATCTGAAACCCACCTTTCAGTCCTTATTGCACCTTCTTCGCTCACCCTAGAGTCAAGCCAGACTGGTCGTCTTCTCGTTCCTCACACGTAATCTAAACCATCTCCCATCTCCAGGTCTTTGCCCCGGCTGTTCCCCATGCCAGGCATACTGGGTAGCCCCAGTGAATAAGATTTACAGAAGGACGTGGATAAGAGACAAAGAATAGGAATGAACGGCTACTGTCTGTACCGCTGGAGAGGGTAACCACATCCGTGAGATCATAGGAGAGCACACATCTGAACTACCAGTATCTGAGTCATAGTAAGTGACTTGTCTTTAAGAAAAGAAAAATCAACCCATCAATCAACAAATATTAAGTGCACACTATGTTCCAGGCCCTGCGGTAGGCACTGGGGATACAGATACAAAGAATGAAACAATCCCTATGCAAGGTGCACACGTTGCCAAGACTGATTTCACCTCTGCAACGTCTCTCAAATATGCCCCCTTCTCTCCTGACACTGCCACCTCCCTGGTGCAGCTAAGTGCTCATCACCTCACACGTGGACCATTGCATTAGCTGCAGGGGGGTCTGTCTGCCTCAAGGCTCTGACTCCAGTCCATGCTCCATTCAGCCACCAAAGTGATTTTCTAAAAGCACAGGTCTAATCATGCATCCACCCCAACTCAGTGAACTGCAGTGGCTCCCTATCACCTCCAAGATCAAACTGGTGTTTATAATCCTAGTCATTTTACACTACTCCCTCCCCTACATACTTGTGATCCCTGGGAGAAACGGCATCTCCCAGCTCTGGGCATTTTTCTGGCAAGCCCCCCATGTCTCCTTCCTCATCTCCACCTATTGGCTTTCCTGGATTCCTCTAAGTCCCAACGAGAATCCCATCTTCTATAGGAAGCCTTTCCTAACCCCTCTTCAATCCAGCATCTTCCTTCTGTGAAGTATTTCCTATTTATACCACATATAGCTTCTTTGTACCTATGTTTGCTATTTTCTCCCTCATTAGACCATGAGCTCCTTGAGGGCAGGAACTGTCTTTTGTATCCCCAGCACTTAGCACAGCACCTGGCACGTAGTAGGCACTTAAAAAATGCTTACTGACTCATCAACTTTCCTTTTAGGAGTGAGAGTTTATAGGAATTCCTTTTCAAGCAAGGAAACAGCACCCCAGCACACCACGTCAAAAGACGACTCAGTTTCTCCCGCTCTCTGTCTTCCACTGGCCACATCCCCTCCCTCCTGGTTGTGCTCCAAGGGGTCTCTAGACTCCAACCCCAAATCCATCATAATAATACCTGACATTTACATGGTACTTTAGAGTTAGCAAAATCCTTCTAATAAGAGGTAGTGTTTTCATTTGCAAAGAGCTTTCCACGTGTAATTTCATTTGATCCTTCCAATATCCCTGAGAGGTTGGTGCTATTATCATTCCCATTTTACAAATGAAGAAACTGAGGTGGAAAAGTTGATTGACTTGCCCAGGGTTGCATGGCTGGTAGAATGCCTGATGCAAATTTAAACCCGGGTTTTCCCATTTCCACTTCAACCCTGTATCCACTACACCAGGGATTCTTAACCTTTCTGTGTCTGTCATAGACCCTTGTCACAGTCTGCTAAAGACGTAGAATAATAGTTTTAAAAGAAACCAAATATACTGAAATACGGTTAGCATTAAGGAGACAGCTAGGTGGCACCACTCTGGATATGGAGTCAGGAAGACCCCAGTTAAGTCCGGCTTCAGACACTAAGTAGTTGCGTGAGGCTGGACAAGTCATTTAACCTCCATCTGCCTCAGGTTCCTCAGCTGGAAAATGAAAATAATAACAGCACCCACCTCCCAGGGTTGTTGTAAGGATCAAATGAGATCATATTTGTAAAGCGCTTTGTAAACTTTAAAGTGCTATCTAAATGCTAACTATTGTCATTACATTATATCATACAATTATTATTATATTATATTATGATAAAATATAGCTATAAAATATTATCATTTAAAAAATCAAACAAAAACAAGTTCATAGACTCCAGATTAAGAACCCCTGCTCGACACCACTCAGTCGCCTCTCTTAATTATAACAGATCATAAATTCTGAGTCGGAGAGGCCCCTTGGTCCAACTGGATCTCATTTTACAGTTAAGGAAAATGAGGCCCAGAGACATTCACAGGATCCTCCCCATGTAAAAGGGTGGCATCATGAACCATCTGGTCCAACCTCATTTCACTGATGAGGAAACTGAGGCATAGAGAGGCTGAGGGACTCACCCAGCAATACAATGGCAATTAGACAACCTCGGTTTTCAGCTCAGGTCTTCCTGACTCCCCATCTAGAGCATATTTTAGTGGCTTTGCTGAGTCTGAAAGGAGCCGACTTGAAGACTTTTTAGTTTTTCAAGCCAAGTAGATAGAAACCAAATTAAGCAGATGTGGTTTATATGAGGGAGGGGAACAGGAGGCAGAGGGAAACTGCAGAGACCAAAAATGGCTCCAGGAGGCTCGGGCAAAGCGATAAGGAGAAGGCAAGGAAAGAAAGGGAGGAAAATGGAAAACCTACAACCATGGCGAGGGGTGGGAAGCAGGGAAAAATCCAGAAGGGAAAAAAAAGCCAACAGGTTCAATGTTGGGAATTCAGGCCTCCCTTTTTCTTTGCAAACAGTCCTTAGAGGAAGCCTGGTCTCAGAATACTGCTAAACCTCGTTAACCTGAGCTCAGGGGGACACAAGAGAAAATGGTCCCTGGGTTCCCCAGAGTTGGATTATCAAGTATTGGCATTTGCCATAGGTTTGCACCACTCATTCTTCGGAATAAACCCAGATCAGGTAAATGGGGTTAATGCCAACATTAGGAATATCACAAGTTAATTAAGAATCAACTCATTAGGATCAAACCACATAGCAAGAGGAATGGGGGAAAAGCACGCACACTAATAATAATAGCTAACACGTATATAGTGCTTGCCATGTGCCAGGCACTGGGCTAAGCTCTTTATAGATACTATCTCATTTGCTCCTCAAAATAACCCTGGCAGGTTGGTATGCAATTACCCCCATTTTACAGATGAGGAAACTAAGGCAAACAGAGGTCAGTGCCAAGGGTAGCACAGTGAGCAAAGTGTCTGAGTCACGATTTCAACCCAGCGTTCTCTCCACTTCACCATCACA